CTGAAAGTGAAAATTTTGCGCAAAAAACGCGTTTCTTGCGTTTTTTTAATGAGCGTTACTGGCTCACAATCGCGGTTCCCTTTTGAGCGTTTAAACGCGTTTTTCCAAATGTTTGTCTGCTTGGGTAGAAACCTGAAGGAAACTCTCTATTTTTGACCAGGGAAAGAACATCTAAAGTTGAATTCCCTGTGTACGTTCAACTTTCAGTTACAGTAATCAGGAGCATTATTTTAGTGACTGAACAAAAGCTTAAGATGTATTTTTTAAGCAGAAAAGACATGAAAGCCAACGTGAAAGTTATATTATGATGATCTATCTATTCGATTTTAGAAGTTTTCTAGTTATGTAGAAGTCTTCGCCATCAAAGTTCGCTTTATTATTTAAATGTAGAAAGTAATTTAGTAGTGCATGTAAATCGATATGAAATAGTTTCTAGTATCTTACATTACATATTCGCATTGGTATGTATATGTTACTATATACTCTATATTCCCCTCGTAAAAGAATTCAAGTCTATGTCTCGAATATGGAAATTATTGCACAATAATAATTTCTCCCACCCAATTCTGCTCTTATGTGCTATCGAAAAAGTATAGTATTTGATTTAAAATTTGTTATGTATGTAAAAACAGTTATCATTCCTCTCTAATTCTCGAGTCTCTCGTGCTATTCTCAAACATACATCAAAATAGATCACAAAAATAATTAGAAGAAAAGTCGTTCTTAAATAGGACTTATATTCTCATTTGGTTCTTGACAAACTGATCTCTGCTGGTTAACTCTCTTTGCTAGCCATCATTCGTGTATAAATCAGCGTACGTTTAATTGCACATCACATCCAGGCTTATTGTTCAAGTTGAGGAAAGCAGGCGGAGCTTGTGTATTGTTTAGAAAGTCATTTAGTAAATTGAAGAATTAGAAACGTTGTCACGAAGTGTGTTTCTGCGAAAAAGACAATATTTTTCATTTAGGCGATGTGCAGGTTTCTTGTCAAAAATCTGTATCGAGGTCACTAACACAAGGTACGTCTAGACTGAGATGTTCTTTGATCAATCGAAGCTGAATCAAACCGGTGCTATATACATTTTATTCAATGGAAGGGGGAAAAGGCATATTGTCAATCTAATTGCTTATTTAAGAGTTCACTATACATTTGATACAAATTCGAAAACGAGCATACTGCAGACAAACATTAACAGTAAAACAACTACTTAACTAAATAAGATCAAAAAGTAAAGTATAAAAACTGAACTAAAGATTAGCACCATTTGTATGCATATGAGAAAGAGAGAGAGAGAGAGAGTTAGCACAACTACAATACTGATTTACCATTGTCCAAGTCGTTGCTGTGCTATGAATAATTCTTCAAATATGTCTGCTTTTAGCTTGAGTTCTGCTGCTTCTTTTCGTTCTTGCATAAAATTTTTAATAAACACGTTGATATCATGATCATTTTGCTCTGTATACAAAACTGACTCGGCTAATTCATTTGTACGATTTTCAGCATCGGTTGCCAAAGATTGTAATTGCGCCAAAATGACATCTAACGATAATTGACTTTCGTTACTTGTTTGATGTTCCATTGGTGATGAATGTATTAATTTTAAATAACAATCTTTTAATTGTTTTATGTCATTATAAGATTTTGATAATTGTTGTTGAATTTCTGATAATTTTGGCTCTTTTGCTAAAGTTTGTTTAGCTATTTGCTGATTTCGAATTGTTAATTGCTCACGTTGTTGATTTATTGTTCGAATTGTGGGTAAAGACTGAATAAAACGATTTAATTCCGTTGATGAATTTGTCATTGCTCTCAAATCATTTTCTAATAAATAACGTAATTGACTGTGAGCTTCACGCACTATTTGATCAGGATTAAATAAATCATTTTGTTGATATGGAGTAGGATACATAATCTAAAATTGAAAACTGAGAGCCAACAATATAAACAACGATGGTCGTGATTTCAGCGGTCTGATAGGCGTCTATTTATAAAATTGAGAGATTAGTGGCATTCCTTAAGTATAAAAATCGCATCTAAGATATTACACTTCAATAGTTTTTTATATTGATGTGTACTAAAAGAACCAGTATTAACGTACAACCTTTTGGGCATAATAATTCTAATAGACTCCGTAAACCTTTCTATACTCTACATGAACGAATTTTGTATAGTTGCAACTATCTATCACGTTTGGGTCGCTTCTATTTAATCAAAATCAGCAAAGACAGAATAGACAATCGGAAAAGTGTGCGTATTAACAATATGGAAAATTTCTGTAGAAAATCAGATTGACATAACGGTATTTGAGAAATTAACTAATATAAAGCTACCATCCATAGTGATTCGTATTATACTGTAGAAATGCTGGGATAGATAAATCCGGATGATATCAATGAATCTCAAGAACGACAGATAAATCATAAATACTATTTATGCTGATACACACACACATTTCGAATACTGATATTGAGCTTAGATAATCGTTTTATTTGTAATCCACAATATTTGATCGTTATTTTTATTATGCTTTTTTCTATTTAAAAAATGCAATAAAGTGATTAACTTAACGATTTATGTTTGCTAAAAATAAACTAAGAATTTCAATATGAATCATCACAAAAATACATGAGAAAGAATTCATACATATTTAGATATAAAAAAAATGCAAACAAAACACTCCTTTTTTGTATCAACAAAAGAAAACATAATAATAACCCGAATAAAAGAGAAGATATTTTTCACAAATAGCACCGTAAATATACACGCATTTTTTTAAGTTTGCTACAAACAAACAAAACCATCACAGCAGCCCAGCTAAATGGGATTTAACAATAATAACAATAACAACTATAAAAGTCTCAGACAGTACAAGCTAACTCAGATCTAATTATCACGCACACATAAACGATAATAAAGGAAAAAAAAAGATTGCAATTTTTTTTGTAATGGAAATAAATGAGAAAAAAGTAAGTTATATCTGAGAATAAAAAGTGTTAACGTACGAAAAAGATTATTTTCGAATGAATATTTTGTCCTTTCAATTTAAATTGTCAAATAGAAATGGAAATATAGAAAAAGCAACGGGCGGTATATAAAACTCAATATTTTTTCTCTTTCTCTATATACAGCTATATATGCAATTTGTTCCATGAGAGAGATAAAAGGCAGTAAAAACATTTTTTTGCGACTATTTGACATTGTCATTGTACAGCGAGAGAAAAATGTACACAAGTGGTAAATAATCAGCTCGATAAAAAAAATGGACTGTATAATTTTTAAAAACTAAATATGATGTACACCTGATGTACAAGTAAAAAGTTTAGAAATTATTTTGTTTAGAGCCAAGGACAACTCTTGGATCTTGGATCTCTAAGGCAAAAAATCAATTTGGTTGTTATTCACAACAATATGATTTTTACCTTTATTGATAGTGTAATAGCGACAGATTAGGAGAAAAACGCTTACCATAACTATTTCGAAGAATTCCTTTTTTTTTGCTGGTGAGAAATGGACTTATAAAAATGGGTATGATAAATTATAAGGCTACTTCTGCTAATGTCACATTACCTTGTCTATATTAAAACTCACGCTCTCCCTCTCTATACGTCAAATGAAAGCAGAAATGATTATATATATATATCTACATCATAGATATTAATATTTAAAAGTAGAAAGATAAATAAAGAAAAAAATTGTTGAATCATGAGAGAGACATTTATACAACACGAGAAAGAAAAAAAGTATCACGTATTTTTAAAGAAGACAACAGAAAAAAATAAAAAGAACAAAAACATGTTGTTCATTCACCGGTTTTTACGTATTTTTAAAACAAAAAAATTTAATATAGGAATAAGCAGACGAACATTTACACATAATTTTCTCTTCCTGTTAAAATATTTTGTCGTTGTTGAGTTTTCGATGTTTGAGAATGTGGTTGTAGTTTTTCAAATAATTTTGCTTTTTCTTTAACATTCCATGATATTTCTCTTAATTCATTGTTAATATCAAACGATGGCGAATGTTTTGCTCGTCGTTCAATAGACTGATAGCGTGAAATATATGAATAATCATGATCACTAGAATAAATTCGATTTGGGGTTGTAGTGAATGATGTTGTTGTGGATGATAATGATGATGGTAATTGATCACTTATTCGAGTAGAAGAACGTGATAATCTCTTTACCTCAGAACCACTTTCATTTTGACGTGGCGTAGGAGAACGAGAAGAATGTTCAATATTTTGATTTTGATTATCGAATGATTTATAACGTACTGCATTTTGTCTATGACATGGATGTCTTTTCGGCGTAAAACAAGATGGAGTTTGTGTATTCTCTTCATTATACAATAAATTTGTCGAAGTTTGATCTAATGGTTTGGCATGAGCAGATGTATTAAGAACAATTTGTGATGATGATTGCCGATTATTATTTTCTCTTTGATTAACTGTTACGATATACATTGATGAATGTTTGTTATTTTGTGGTTGTTGATGTTTTACAACCGGTTGAAATGAAGATGTTGACACAGGTAATTGACGTAAATGCGAAGAAGTTGACGATGATGATGGTTTGCAATGAACGAATGTACGGGAAGAAAGATTATCGCTATTAGTATTCGTAGCTGAATCGAATGATAAAGATTTCATTGATGAGGTAAGATCTAGTATTGGACGATTCGGTCGTTGTTGTTGAGGTAGTCGACTAAAATAATTAGCTGGTTGTGAATGTGAAAGAAGTTTATGAGATGTTGAAGGTGATGTAACAGTTTCATAAGGTGATGAATGGGATGGGGATGTTGTCATAAATGTGGATGAGTTCGTTGACGACGAAGATGGTTGCAACGTATTTTTATTTGTTGTCATTACGTAAACTTGATTTGTTGTTATTAATGGACCACAATGACGTGAACGACCATCGTTATTGTGATTCAATGGACGAGTATTAAATAAATTTGAACGTTCATTTGAATCCGTTACATCTGATTTTGATTCTCCATAATATGGTTGATTATTTATTGATTCTGTGGCTGTTGTCACTGTCATTATAGGTGATGTGTTATTTTGATCCGATTTATTTAATGTAAATGATGCTGAACGTATTGGTGTTATTTGTTTTGATTGTTGTTTTTTATTATCGAATACTTGAGACAATATTTGTAATGATGATGGCGATTTTGAAGAATTATTTAATGATACTAATGGTACACTAGTCAAGTCAAGATTTATTTCTGATGATGAAGATGGGTCTTGATCTGTAGGCTTTGGAATAGTTTTCAAATAATTATTTTGTGGTTGAAATGAGGATGGTTGCTGTTGATACTTCGTTTCTGGCCTGTCCAACATTTTTGTTTTTTGTTCTTTATATGTTGGCCTGTAAGATAAAGATGAAAATTATTCTAATTTATGTATTTCCATTAAATGTATTAATTATTTAACAGATAACGTATTACTTAGGTTTAAATTTTGTATAACCTACCCGGGAAAAACGCACTTTAGATAATAACCTATCATGTAGTTTTTTCTGATGATTATAACTCATCAGAGAGCGGTATTATCACTCAAATGCTATAGCTTTTGACATACAGTATTGTGCGATTTTTTAATTAAGCCTTTGTTGGTTTTCCAGGCAACCAGCAACATCCCAAACCCGCAAAATCCTTCCGAGTTTTCTAAAAATCCTCTGACAAAAAACTAAGACCTAATTCAAAAATCAACGCCGGTCAGTCCATGTAGTTTCTTTTAGTCTTTTAAACAGAAAAGGAATGAGCGCTCTACGAGAAACCGCTATTAGAAATCCTGGGAAATACTTCAGGTGTAATTCTTATACAGAGAAAACGCTGTATGAAATATTCAATTTTAGGATTTGTAGGAAAATGCCTGTAACTTTTTGATGCAAGGTCATAGAGAGTTGTGCGAGGTCTTATTTTGATCAGAAAAAGTTTACTCTACAAATCTGTGTGTTCAGACAAATTTCAATTGCATAAGTATCCAGGAAAAAATTATTATTTGAAGACCAGGTTTTTCGAGGCTCCGAGAAAACTTGCTCAAAATCTGCGAAAAACCACTTTTGTAACCAAAAGCGACACAGATTCTGAAGGAAACACTTCAGGCTATCTTTCTATGTGCGTTTCTCAAAACTGATTTTTTGACCGAAAATCACCATTTCTGATAGGGGATCCCTTAAGTCAAATAGATAGTTGGTATCCATCAAGCATGTAATCTCATAAGACGCAACATATTAGAAAAACACATGCTCGGTTCAAACTACGGCCTCTTTGTCTAGAACATAATATCATTTAACGATCAAAGTATATTCATCAACAAACAAACATTCTCAGAGGATATATTTATACTGTATGATATCATAAAATCAAAATACAAACCTAGTTTGTAAAGACTTTTCATCATCTTGATCACTTTCTATACTAATAGCACCCATTTGTGATATTTTTAGACGTGCATGACGATCGCTTGTTGTTGTTACATGTTGTTTAATTAATGTTCTTGATAAATCATCAATATTATATTGTTTTATTAATTTCTTTTGAGCTGAAATATCATCATTATTGTCGTCTTCATCAGCATCATCACTACTGAGTGAACGGTGATGATAAAAATGTTTCAATGATGACGTACGTTTCACGTCATTTATATTCGTAGTTGTATTTGTTTTTTTATTTTGTTGTTGTAATTGATGTTCGACACTACCTATCGAAGAATTTCTTGATAATGATTTTGAACGTTTTAATTTTGATGTGCTTGATGAACGTGTACTACACAATGATTCATTGGGATTTAATGTGGTTGTTGTTGTAGTCGTCGTTGTTGCCGTATTATTGTTATTATCAGACTCATCTGATGTACTCATATTTATTTTTGTTAATTTTTCACGTTCTAAAAATTTATTCGATGGTTTATAAGAATATTTTGATTTTGAACTACGACGTCGAATAACATCCACTTTTGAATTGTTCGTATTACTATTATTATTCATTATAATGTTCAAACTATTTAAAACACATCCGTTACCACATTCTACACATTGAGCCCAATTGGGTTTATCATTATTGTTATTGGATAATAATAAATCAATAGTTTCACTCTTTTTATTCGAACTCAATAGACTAATATCTTTTTTTAATAATTTTGAATCATTAGAATGAAATTCATTAGTAATAGGTATTGATGGCTGATGATGTTTTGATTCATTAAAATTTTTCATTCGTCGAAATGTATCGTAACGTGTTGTACGACTATTTGATAACGGATTTGTTCTTAAAATATATTCAGATATTTCACTACTGTCATCATTGAACGGTTGATCACTAGCTGCCAGACCGGAATCGCGTGAACGATTTACAACAGGTAAATATGGAGATGATTCAACTTCATCTAAACTTTCGATCGATGATGCCGTTGGAGGAACTAAAATAACAAAAATAAAAATTTTAGTTTTAGTCATTAATTCGATGTCGTTTTCTATATCATCAAACATACGTTGATTTGATAAATTTTCTTCATTATGATTATTTCGTTGTTGATTAATAATAATTAATTTATCTTGGATACATGTTAGAATATCATTACCAAATAAAATAGTACAATTATGTATTAGAAATTCAACAATTGATGACATGACATCGGCGTCTTGTTTTCCACTCGTGATTGTTGTTGTTTCCGTTTTGAACAGACTATTACTAACACATAAACCCAAATTAAATGGTGTCATACCATTTGTATCGGAAAAATGGGCTATACGTTGTAATACACTTATGAAACCTTTCAATAACATATAATTTGCATTTCCCATTGATGAAAGAATGCTATAGTGAGTAGAAAAAGAAAGAGAAAGAATGATTACTAAATAGACTAAAAGAATGTGAGAGGGTTTTTGATGAAATCGAAAAGAAACTATATGAGTGTAATCAGTGACGAAATCTGAACATGATAGCCCATTTTGTTTTTCAAAATTTTCACTTTCATTTTTTTCGAAAAAATTTCCATCCTTTGGAACATTGAAACTTTTTTTATCTTAGATTTCAATAAAAAATACATCATCCTGTACAGAATTTTATGCTGATCACGAATATCATGTTAATTTTGCATTTAAATGCATTTGAAAAAAGAAAATGAATTTTTTTCTCAAAGATGTTCATCTGTGCTCTCCTATAAAAAATTGACCCACAGTCGTCCGAAAGCTTCTTATATACTTTTAAAAATCCAAGTACTATATGTAAAAATGCGCGTTTTCTCCGAATATCACGTCCAAAACCCTATTGTAACACACTAAAGTGCCAAAAAGTCGAAAAAACTGGAAATATCCATGGACTTCATCTCTCTTGTTTCAATGTTAGCTCTGTTATACCACAAGAAAAGCTGATTGCACTCCAGTTCTTTGCCAATATGGGCAGTTTTGAATGCTCTGTTCATTGAGCAGAAATAGAGAATTCAAAAAAGTGTTCATCATAGCTAAAATCGAGAATTACCGCTAATTACACTGCAAGTCCGCAAAAAACTGTGTAATTAGCGGTAATTCTCGATTTTAGCTATGATGAACACTTTTTTGAATTCTCTATTTCTGCTCAATGAACAGAGCAAATTACACAGTTTTTTCGACTTTTTGGCACTTTAATGTGTTACAATAGGATTTTGG